ACACTATTTAGATACGCATTGTAACGGCCAAAATATCGACCCACAGGCCCAACGAGTAAACAATGTCTCTCTTGGCAAACGAAGCGCCATATCGTGTGCTATTCCTTTATATAATGGATAATTGTGTTTGACGTCCCGTCATAAAGCTCAGCTGAACGCACTGGGGCAGCGCCATCACGAGTAAAATTACCAAGTTTGTCGCACATTATGCTCAAGTATGTCTGATCAAGGGCATTTGTTGTCAAAATATTGTAAGCCGAATCGTCTCAAGACACTACATGGTGTCTGCAGTTAGCCCATTAACATCTGTTGTAGGCAAAATGGCGTTTTGGGCGATGTGATCAGACCTTAGGAAATCGCTACCATTGTTTAAAAAAGCTATTCAAAGGCCCAAAACATATGGAGATCTATTTACTATCTGGTTGGGAAATCAACCTATGATTATATCTTCCATCCAAGGCAAACAAGACCTAGCGGGGCCTTATAGGAACACATTGAATGCACACCAACGTGGATGATCTACAAACCCAAGGCTATGAACCTAGTACTTATTATAATGTATATATTATAAAGTACATATTACAATGTATATATATATAGATAAGAGATCCAAGAGCTATAGTTAGTTTCATCGCGTATGGTGATAGGTATACGATATGAAATAGGTATGAATTGGGACAACATTTAAACTGAGGCTGAAAGCTTAATTAGCTACGCTAAAAAAGTGTTTTGCTTATGGAGCTATGTGGGACGCATGAAATCACAACAATTTCGTGCTGTAATAGCAGATAGTTGTTTTTCTACTGGATTTTATGTATTTCGGAATACTGCAAAGAAAACACAAAACATAATAGGCTTCATCGTGTCATATGTAACGTCGCGAACTTCTACTGCGGCCATTACGTGACACAGATCCCCGTGTGTGCGGTTTAGAGCACACAATTACGCCGTTCATTTAGTAATAATTATTTGTCTAGAGAATAATGTCCATATATCTAAACGTCTGGGGAGCCACACTTCATGAAATCAGGTGATATCTCCAGTGTGTCCTGTAATCTTTCCCGATCAGATCCGCTTCAGATCAGAATCCGATTCAGGCCGCATCTAGCGTTGATCCAAGAACCTATTCATATAGCCAAAAACCACCGGCAGGGGTCGCTCGCTCAAGCCGCGTCAACGACATTTTTTGCATGACAAGTGTGCTTATATAGAGGAACAACAAAGAAATCTGTCGAAACCCAGGCTTAAAGCTTAATTTTCGGTTTGACGTTACTCTATTTTTAGGACATCGTGTTTCGCATCTATAACCCTGCGTGGGACAAAAACAAGCAATTTGCCCATCTGATAACATTCAGAGTCTACGCTAAAATTCGAGAGCTCTTCTTCACGGAGAAGTGCTCGAAAGGTGGGAAACCTGTAGCTACGATGGAGTATATGAAACGTATCAAGGACGCCATAGACAATATCACTGCCATATCAGCATATGGAAAGGGATAATGATCCATGGTTTGTTTACCTGAGAGATCTATAGATAAATAATTTTAGTTGTCTGCTGGCGACTTGTCGCCATACTATTTAAGCGAAAGCTAATATAATATTTGAACATATTTCTAAATGTTATCGATTACCGATCGTATAAAGATAGGCTGATCGTAAAGTTACGTTTCCGTAAATCCTAATAACATTAGTCATACTGGTAATAGTAATTTATTTGCGGGACATTTTGAGTGTCGTTACGTTTCATGTCAAACCAGCTATTTGGGTTCAAAGTTGAGTGAAGATTTTAATCAGCTCTAATTAACTCAGTCTGTTGACAGTAGTGGCTATCGTAGGCGACAATCGAAGAGGTAACTTCAATTCGCGTATCGTTCAAAAATTTAAGGAAGCAATGCAGATCTTTGGAGACGAAGAGTAGCTTACCATCTGATATTATGCCCATACTTGGCTGGATTTTGTTCCGCCAAGGAAGATCCGTTCGAGACTGCCTTATTTCCTTGATGGAATCGCATCACCTAGCTAAATGGCTAGAAGTTGTACTGAGAAAACTTTCGAGCAAATAGTACATCTTCGAGTCGTACTCACCCTAGTTAAATGTATTTAGCAGGGACTTTTTTTTTTTTGCATCGTAACTGAATCATATACTTCGCTTTTCGAGCGTGAATAGGTGCCATGAAATATGCCAGCCCTTAGCGTTAGAGTTGGTCTTTAAACGATATTATTGAGGTAATGAACCACACTCTTACCAGTGTCAGCCAGAGCTTAACGTGTTGAAACGGCACATCTGTTATATTCACTGTCTGGCGACACCAAGCCCATTACTAATAATCTTATTGTTGCAACGTATTCTGCCTAGCATGAGTTCTTTTCTGACGCGCTGATCTAATTGCCCTGCTTCGATTCTGGCAGGACACATACAAATATCAAGGCAGGCGGGGAAACACTGATCGTTCGTGAAACAGGATGCCAAAGATGAAGTTAGACACGTTTTAGAGCAAAGGTACCCTTTGAGAGAGATGGCCTTTGATAGGTTTCTTAGCTACCTGTCAGGCCTTGACAACTTACTACATGCATGCTGCGTTTAAGGTAACTCCCGGCATTTCATCGACGTTTTGTTGAATTTCCGATAATGATTTCTACCTGTGAACTGTGATTCTGTACGACGGTAACGTGCGACCTTGGTTATGGTAACTTACGGCGGGCTGTGTTCACTATCTTCTTCGCTGGTATTAGAATTTCGAAGACTATTCTCAATTATAGTTCGCTTATTTTAGCGAACGAACCTAAGCTTCAAGAAGAACTCCGCGGCTAGATTAGCGAAAAAATAGGATACATTGTTGTCTGTACTGGTCCATCTCGAAGACTGACTTTTTTAAATAGGCAACTGAAAGGATAAACAAGCTAAGTGGTTTCAATATAGCGCGTTATTAATCGAAAGTAGTGAGATTTAAAAATGGACGCAAGCTTTATTTCTATTCCTATAACATAGGGTGCATTAAGGCGAATTAAATTTAAGTCGCATTGGCCTGATGTCCAATTTCATTTTTCGCCGAAACAGGGGATAATCCGTTTTTACCCTACAGCTACATTGGTCCTGCAAGGACGGCCCTGACAAATGTCACAGTTAAGTTACAGACACACCTTGTTAAGAACTGAATCATACTATTTACTGATTTATAACTTCTGCATCAAGTTTAAGCGAGTGAAACGCAACTTGGTAAACCGCGATCGTATTAATTGCTTTGCGAAGGCGGCAAATATCTAAGAGACGTATTTTTTTTTTAATTTAAGATTATTACGAATTTTGTAAAGGTGCTCAACTAGAAAAAAGATTGAAATTCCAGACATTCTACAAAGCGAAAGCTTCTTCAACAAATACAAAACACAGATAAATAAAATATAATTATGCACAAAAATAAATTCCACCACAGTGACACTGCCTGGTTCAGGAAAGCATACCTTTTCAATGGACAATCGTCTAGGCCATCATACTTCACTGTTACTTTTTTATATTTTATATATCACTTTATCGTAGGCTTTTGAGCCTTTAAATTTAATATTTTAACACAATTAGCATTTTTAAAGAACAAGTCGCAAACGTGAAAAATATTACCTAAGTAATATTACTTGCCAAGCGATTGTTAATAATACCTTCTCGGATTTTCCAGCTTGTGCTTCATATAAGTTTTTTTATTTGACCTAACCGATTATTTCACCTAGGCTCTTTTCTGCTCGAACAGATCACTGCGGCGACGGACGGATACTCGCCGCTACTATGTATTTGTTAAACTATTTGGTAGTATATCTATTACTTTCTTGTATTTTCGTTTGTTATCTTCTAATGGATCATTACGCCACTTTAAGTGGTACTAATAATTATAATTACAAGTAAATACACGTCTGCTTTCGTTTACCTCTTTATAAGGTATTGAATCTTCATAATAACAACAGTAATACGCATACATTTATCTCCTGTCATTCCTTCGTAGTAACTCTTTTGTGTCGGGTACTGTGGCAGACATCGTCGTTTTTGTTTGCCTTCAATAGTAGTCATGCTACGAAGTTATAAATTTTCTTATTGCTTACAACTTTTTTTTTGTAGGATTTTTATGAAACCATTCACAGTTAATCTTTCTCTCGTTAGGATAGCCAATTGATGTCGATCCATACCAGCCTAAATGTAAACGTCCCTTCGCTATTCCGTCAATTTTCGTTCTCGGTCTGCTATTGGTAAATGCCTTCGAAGTACTGAATGTCTGCTAACCAAGAATATAGTTCTCACCACCCATCCATCCATCCATCCATCCACCCATCCACCCATCCATCCATCCATCCATCCATCCATCATCTTTTTGTTATTGTTTGATCCGACTGATTCGATTTTTCTTGGAAAATATGCCCGTATGTTTCTCTAGCTGATCCCTGCGCCGCCGTTTTTATGCAGCTGAATGACAAAATAAATTGAACTGTACAGTTGTAATGTAACAATTACAATAGTCTTTCAAAAGCTATACGCGACGGCCGTGTTTGGGCCTTTACAAGAGGCTAGGTGTTAGCGGTCGAGATTTGTAACAAGTTTATTATGTCGATACGTGTTTGCAGATAGGCTGATTGTGTTCGAGGATCGGTTTAGTATTGATTTCTAGTTTTGTCCCTGTTCTATGTAAACGAGTAGTCTATAGCGTTCTGGTTGGCAACTTTGCGATGCGCGAATGACATTTGAAGAAGAACTCATGTAAATGCTTAGATTATGCTCGTCCCTACATACGCTAGCTGGTTCGGTAAATGCAACACTTCTTAATTTCGAAAACATCTATTCGCTGTGGTAACCACTATGACTTTCGTGTACAGTTTGTGGTTAATCCCTACGCATTTGTTGCACCTATCTCCGGCTAGCCAAAAATAATATAAGCGAACTCCTTTCTTCCAGTTACTTCCTCCCACGCTCTCCTTTGCCCCTCCTCCTCCTTAACGCCGTTACACTTCATCGTCCTTGTAGTTAAGTGCATTGTTGGCACAGGTCACTGAAGTAGTGAAGGACACGCAGCTTCCCGCTCTGGTATGACGCGACTCTCTTCGGTCATCTTTGTAAAGGCGCTGCAGCGGCAGCAACGTGGTGCATTGCAATATACATATGTAACGCAACTCAACATTAGCCGAAGTTGAAGTTAACGGGGAATAAAATCCCGTCCCAGTAACGCGATGTAATCCGGATGAGAAGCAGCAATGCAAGCGGTGACACAAACGTTACGTTGTGTTAGGGGATAGAGATAAGACAACACAGAAAAAAATGGTACATGTTAGATTTATCGATAATTCACTTGCCAGTTTGTTCTTTTGCTCCTCAAGGGTCATTGTTGGCCGAATATACTTCATTTGGCCCCTAGGATGCATGCGTTATATGCAGGCCTTGCTTGTCGGACAGACAGCACGAGGGGAGACCACGACTGATACGGGTTAACCGTAGGGTATCGCGCGGATAATTCTGGAGGAAGGGGCTTCGAGCTTCGTGACTTTTTGACATAAAAAAAGCACAAAAACACGAATAACAGGCATTTACAAAGACGCAAACAGGGGCATAAGTAAGTGAAGTGAATTGAAGTGAAGCGATGCCAAGATTACGGGCCAGCGCAAATAGACGTACTCTGCATCACCGTTACATAGGGTGACAAGAATGAACATGTAGTCGTTAATTAAACTCCTTTATGCCTACACATCTTCATGTCCTCCATGATCGTTTTCATACTTTCAGTTCTCTGATTTTCAGTTCAGGCATTTTATATGCTGATGCATAGCTGAAGGTCGGATCAGCGTGCCGACAACCGAACAGTTATTTATGCAATAATTCACTAACGAGCGAATCAGTTGCGAAATAACTGAAATGGAACCAGTCATACATAGCATCAGGCTCATTGCAGGCAAGCGATATATCTCTCCATGGCCTCCAGGGTTACTCCTTTTACTTTCAGCGCATTCTCAGACATATGCAGTAAATAGCATGCGGAAGGGTGTGACGTGGTGGCAATACATCTCTAGCTTCGTGTATCGTCATCGAGTTCTTTTTCATCCTGTGATTGATGCATCTGCTTGACATTCAGTCTGGCTTGGGAACCTTCTAATATGCAAGGACGAACGCAGTGTGCTTGCTTCGTGGGCGGGTCGGGATCGGCTTCACACAACATTTACTAAATCGGTGAGGTCGTACGCGGTAAAGTGAATACGTGGCGTCACGAACAGATACACGATTGACATATAGAACAGCCGCACATGTCACCCGAATGAAACCTTTACGCACAAACAGCTCGTTGCACTTTCCATGCACACGAGATCTCAATCAGTTACCGGTATTCAGACGAGAGATTGATCCGGGGATCCCGGCGGCCCTATCCAGCGCTGGCAATCAAATAGCGACAAGAGAACAGATACGGGGACATCGAATAATTGCACCGAAAAATTATAGAAATGTTTCAGATTGCAGAAGTGAAGAATCCAATCGTAAGCACGACTTCAAATTATTTGTTTGGCATAAATAGTTAGTGATCTATAAGCGTTACTCTTCTGCCTGCTTTTAATATGAGTTGTAATATCCGAAATGACAAATGTGAGCTTATTGCATCTTCTAAATAATACACTTCCAGTAATTTTTGGAGCATTTCGACGTTTCTCTCGTGAACACGCATTTATATGAGATACGCAGGACGACGACCGGCTGTGCGGAACTTCTTTTGCTGTGTGAGCGACATTCGCATGGTTCGCGGGCGTCATCCGGCGGAGACAAGTGCAGGATCGTACTCCCAGTCGATCGAAGCGCTAACCCACACGCTGGCAATGGCGGACGCAAACTTTTCTGCCTTATAAGTTGCCTCTACGTTGGCCACACCGCTTAGGCGAGGTGATGGTGATTACCGTCTTCGTTCGGAAGTCCTGTGAAGTAGTTGACGGTTGTTCTCGTTATGACTGATATTGTTGTTAGTGGTAGTGGTAACCAAGGCGACCGCAGGAACGTCGATGGTGGCCAAACTGACGCCGATGGGTGCGTGAACCTTATTAGCAATATGAACGGAACTCGGGAGTAGAAAGCCAGTTTGTTCAGGTAACGATACCGGTGATAAACCGTAGAGAGGCGATCTACAACAGGCCAGATCGCCCAGCTCGCCGATATCGGAACCGACCGAGCCAAGAGAGCTAAGCAGGCCATAACGCGCACTGCCCGGCACTCCGGCCTCAGCACCACCTGCCAGCGTAGCGCAGGGGGCTCCGACGCCGCCCTCGTTCCCGTAATCACTACCACCGCCGCCGCCAACCCCCACACCTCCTAACCCTGGTGGCCAGCTGGCCTTGCCGCTGCAGCTGTTTCGGCCGCTCTTATCAGCACTTGCATCCGACCTGCTACCGGCAAGACCATCACAGCCCACGAGGTGGCGCTGGCTATCCTCAAGTCCATCAACGCCAAACTCATCATTTTCATCATCACTATCATGATCAGCATAATCTAAATCATCGCAACCGACAGCCACCTCACCATCATCATCACCATGAACACTAACAGCAGCAACAGATGCATTGCCAACGTGGTAATCATTTGCCGTATCAGTAACGTGAGAGCCGTCCACCGATTTTAGCATAGCTACAACGACATAATGGTGGCTACCAGTACTACTAATGTGATTTTTGACTGCCGGCGGTCGCTGCTGCAATTTCTGCATTTTACTATTACTGCAGTTAGTGGCGAGCGAAGCAGATCGGCAAAGGGGTAACGGTTCGTTTGGAATTATTTCTGCTGCTGCTGCTGCTGCTGCTCCTGAATTGAACAAAAGTGGCGATGATGATGATGTTGTTGTTGAGGTTTCGGTGGAACTAGTGGGGGTGATTTTAGTGTGAGCAGTACCATTGAACGTAGTGCTAAAGGTGTTTCTCGTTGTGAAATTGTTGTTATTATTATTGCTACCAAATTGTGTTGTGGTCAGCAAAGAATGGGTGATTACACCGTTTGCAGTTACTGTGGGCGAAGGAACTAAAACGGTGTTGGGCCCATTCCCAATGAACGGCTTCTTCAACTGGGGCTTACTCATGTCTTGGCCAATGTGGTAGTCTGTAATAGTATCTGTGGAGTTATTGACGCTAGCAGGATTACTGATTGTAGTTGTTGAAAAGCTGGCGGCAGCAGCAGCAGCAGCAACATGAGGGCAACGATCACCCGCAGAACCATTTGTCGTGGGGCTGTTGACACTGCTAGTCGAATGGTTCGACAATAACAGGCTTACCATCGTAGCGGCCATCACAGTCGATGGAGGTGTTGTTGTGGATGTCCGTCGATGGCGGCCACTGTTGCCACTGTCACTTTGCTTTTGCAAGTGAGAATGGTCGCGGTAAATTATCGGGTTTAGATAGAGGGGATTTGTAATGCTTGTGGGAGTGCTATTGGTAGTACCTGTTAGATTGTGGAGACTGTTGCTGTTATTGTTGTTACGGCTGCTGGTCGTGTTATTGTTCCTGTTAGTGCTTGTAGTAGAAGGTGGTAGAAGGGGTATGTTTGCTGCCTTCGGGCTGGAAAAGTTGCTGCTGCTGCTGCTGCTGCTGCTGCTGCTACCGGTGATATGGTTTAATACGGGATGACTGATAGCTTGGTTTTGGTGATTATTGGGGGTTGTAGTGGTTGCCTTGTTAGTATGATGGTTATTATGATGGTTTGGGGTGTTGGTGGCATGGTGAAAGCGGTACGAGATCGATACCGAGTGCCGCGCTCCGTGATGGCTGCCGAGCGCCCGCATCGTTTTCCAACGCTCGATGTGATGGCGCACTGAGTTCCGCACCTCGCCGTTCATAAAACAGTACAACACTGCTACCGTCAAACCCTAAAATTTGAGAGATACAGACAGAGAAAAGGACATCATCATGACAACAGTGATCGACACGCACGTACCAGAAAGACAGACAAGCTGCATCACACGACAAAGCAACAAGAAAACAGTAATAATACACATACAACATGCCAAACTCAACTACTGGTAAATGATAGTAAGTTATATCGGAATCGGGTAACCTTCGTTTAAATGAAAAGTAACTAACACAGCAGCAGTACAAAGAACCATACTTTTCGCTCGAAGAATTATATTAGTTTGATTCGTTAGGGTTATGCAAAATAGAATTCGACAGACATTTGTTCGCTGTATGAGGAAGAGCACTGTAATGCATATGGTATACGTTCTGCGACTTTGCGAAGGCCGATATATGTTAAAAGATGTACACTGTATGTGTAAGGCCAACTGCTGATCCTACATACATGCTACATCCGAATGGAGGAAGCATATTCTGACGAATCAGCAAAAACCCACATCGTCGAGAAACCATAGATTTGTTTTCCAAAAAAATATTTCCATAACTGGCCTCGTTAGCAACCTGTAAATAATGTTTTCGCAGTACTTTTACCTGGCGTTCGAAAGCGTTTGCCGTTACTTGTCCGTCTTTTCTATTCGCTGGCTACATTCTGGCCCCCAAGTATGGCCGTCGCCCTCTGCTGACTTTCAGTCAATTATTCTTGTCCTATAAAAGCCTTTTTGACTTCAGACGTCGTCCAATGACCTCGGTGCATTCTCCACTGTTAATCTCGGGTGATACTCAAGTTTCCTACCTTAGTTCTAGTTCACTGACCCCTTTCACATACCTAGAGTTAGGTCTCGTAGGTCCACTAAGAACTAAAGGATTTTGCAGTTTGAAAGGTTTACAATGAACACTGAACAGCAACAATATTGACTTAGACACGATTCGGCAGCCAGCAGAGTCGGGACGAAAAGCCGCTACCGCACGCATCGATTGCGCACTTTGTCCTTCTTTGAACGCAGAGGCGGTCCGATGAAAGAGAGGGATGTCACTGCATCTACAAATCCCGTCTTTTATAACTATGCATTCGATAATGCCGCCATGACCGCAACAAGCCGGTCGACCTTACGAGGTTTATCCTCCTCATTTGTCTCTGCCCAGACCAGCATGTACGATTCGAATAATATACTGTGCGTGCGTATTTTTTTGCTTTTCCTTTGTGGAGGGTGCATGCTTGTTATGTACGTGCAGAAGTGGCGCCACAGTACCGAATGATTTCAGAGCTGGAGAGGGCGTTAGCGGGCGAACAAAGGCACAGGTTGCCGTAACAGCGTGCCCCGTGATCGAACTTCACCGCGAAGGGGTTAAAAATCAAAGGTCTCATTTGTTTTGGTTCACTCAGTGTTAGACACTGACACAAAGGCTAGACGACGGAACAAACAATTAGTCCCGAATGGATACTTCAACTGTACATTGATTTGCAATGGTCAACTTGCTTGTGAAAGAAAGCTGGCAACGATCTGGAAAAAAAGCTCACACCAAAGATATGGGCTATTCAACCGATGGGAGAGAAGAGCAGCACTGTGAGACTTTTTTTTTTTTTTTTTACTAAAAATGGTTCTTCTAAACAGCTTCGAGAATACTGAATTTACGCATTTCCTACATCTGACGATAAAGCATGGTTTCCATATCGAGCTCTTAATATTATGTATGTAATTCTTTTGAGTTTGTTAAGCTCCGCACGTAAGACTCCAACGGATTGAAATCTGGCCTGCGATGCGGCAGTAAGTCGTTAGTCGATAACACGCTAATGTTCAGCCAGCTGGCGCTACGTACGAAACACTTAATGATTAAGCAATCCGCTTTTCTCAAAGAGGTGTGATGGAACTAAGTCCCTTGTATTGCCAGAAAATTTAGTCATGTTCATAATGGAGACATCTAATGATTCGTTCTTGAACGTTTTCCTCATCATTGACGAATTGAAGACGCCGTGTTGCTGCTGCATTCTTGAAGGAATTCAGAAGGAAGGGAAACTTCAGAATGATTTTAACAAGACCTATATCCGCGGCGTTCTTGAACACTCAGGCGTATCAGGCTGGTCGAAGTGCGCATCAAAAAGCCAAGCTTTTCAAAGTTGCATCTTTACATTCTTCTCACTAAGCCTTAGGGTTTTAACAAAGGTTCTCATGCCCTGCTCTCCTTCTTCTAGTATACAGGACTTTGTTTATGTCTTTTCAGCAGCCATGCGCTAAGTCACAGTGCAATAAATCGTGGACTACTGGTAACCAAAGAATAACAAACTTTACTGACAAATCTCTCACCGTATCCTGCAAGATTTCAACTGGAAATTCTAAAAATCTGCAACATTACGCCATCCCGATATACCATATCAGTGAAATGCAATAGTTAGCTAGAATTTAGCCCAGCTCGAAAATATTAGTGCTGATACCGTGGATTCTTTACAGAGGTTGTCCTGTCGTGTTTCTGCCATTTCGCTTGATGTTTCCATGGCAGCCGCGCACTCAGTCGCGATATAGTAGATCATCGAATTTCGGTACTCAAGAAAGTCTATAACGGGTCCCTCCAACACGAAGACATATTAGAAAACGTATGAGACGATCGTATCAGAACGAGCTTCCTATTTACGAGACAATGAGTTTTTGTGATTTTGTTCCCGAAACAACAGGCTGCTTGCTATTCGTGTCAAACACAACAAGTGAACGCACGCTCGCTAGAATAGCAGACAAAATACATCACTTCTCCTAATATACTGCTGGAAAGTTTTTTAGCTCTGTGCCTTTAAAGGTGCATGTCGCGGGCAATATGAATCGCGTTCGTTCAACGTTGCTCTTACTTAACGGCTCGGATTTGATGCTACCAGCTAAAATTGTTAGAATGCCTTTATTAAAACTGGAGATAAGGCGCCTCGAAGATAAATGTTTGCAAAGTTTTGCTATGTTTTACAGTTTTACGACGACAAATGTACAAATATCGCATAAAGAACGGAACTGCTTATGGTCGAAACGACTCAAAGATTGTCCTTTTGTTTTCTTTCTGGAAATTACGATATTAAAAATGCTCCTCGTAGTTGTCAACTAGTTGAGCAAGACCGATACGCGAACAGCCATGATATCTCCAAGGATTTACCACCAAGGACTACCATCAAGCAATTTTTGAGAAGAGCTGGAAGATAGGATGTCACATAAATCAACGCAAAAGGACGCAGAAACAAAACGAAATTTAGACTTTTTTTTTTTTAAAAAAGACTAATTATGGATCATGAAAGGTGAATTATATATGACGAATAATGTGCAAATAAGGCAAAGCCTTATGCCTTGTGCGAAAGGAAGTGATGCTGTCGTTAGGACAGAATATGAGGTGCTGCCGCCTGGAGAAGTAATTCATTCAGACTTCTACTTCCAACAGCTAGCGAGATCACAACAAGCCAGTAGAAAAAGTCGACTGCAATTAGCGAACAGAACAGGTGTCATCTTCCATTATGAGAATTTTACATACCACATACATTTTTTATCTACTCGGCAAATTTCGATGAGAGCTTCTAATATATTCGTCGTACATTTCGGATATTGCACTATTAGTGACTTCGGCCTAGGCAAAACCTTCTAACTCATGTTCACTTAGTTCCAATAGAACCAGGGTTTGTCATAACATTTCATAGAGGTTCTCCAGTGATTGAAATGAGGTGTTAGCAAAAAAAAAAAAAAACTTTCAAAATGGCGCATACTTACTTCAGTAGTAAAATATCATTTTAAACAATAAAGAAATGCTTCAGCTTTGGTCAGCATCGTTTGGAGATCTGTGTATCATTTGAAACACGTATATCGCCATATGATTTTGAACAAAATGGGGGGCAAATTCGTTATATGTCTATTACGAATTTAACCGTGTTCTATAAATCTAGTAGCAAAGCTTTATTGCTTCTAACGAGGTGCGAGCGCTAATGAAATCTGCGATAGTATACAATTAAATCTAAGCAAGCTCTATGCGTCTATAACATGTAGTATGTAGAATATAGCAAAATAAAATAGAGCTCTCACTTATATCTCTTTTGCTAGGGCACCATTCTTCCTAATGACTAAACTGAGAGCAGTGTAGTTATAACCTTTTTATCAGGCAGTGTTTGATAAATCTCTAGAGGCTCACGAATCCTTTTCCAGCGCCAGACAAAACATGGCGCGAATGTAAACGTATGATGCATAAAAAGAAATTTCTAAGAGATCTCTAAAAGATCTATGCAGTTCTACTGTACAGTATTATCTGAAAATCGTTGGAACCAACAGTCACTGGCTGGATCAAAGCTGTCGTAAATATATTCAGATCGCACTGATTTTGTGGTACGCATGGTTAGCTTGAAAATATCTTGATTGGATATCAGCCCATTACTCAATATGCCAAACGCTATCTGGTCTGGTAGAGGACTGATCGCGATCGTTTGGCTTACTCGGGGCCCCGTTTCTGAAGACTAGATAATCCTTTTGCTGGGCTATATGGCGCAGTCTCAGTCGAAAGTTGTTAATATAATGTCTCCGGCCTAAGCGGTGTTCGCTCTTACATCCAGCAAGGGAAGCATTTTACTAGGCTAGATTCCTGTTCCTTGCAGCCAGACTAGCTCATGTGCTTGGACTGGTGCTCACGTACCTTGTTCTTGCCTTCAGTAGTTGGAAAGCAAGCCTTGCACAAAGGAAATTTCAATTTGGATAGGAGTGAGTTTATTCGTAAAGCATTTGTGCGTCTCACGCGCAAAGAAAGCTACAGGAGGACGTGGTATAGACGCTTCATAAATGAGCAGCTATTGCACTTCGCGGTCGTGGGGATTAGCGCGCAGACCTGGCTAGCAGATGGAGACTAAAGTAGATAGGCAGCCCTTATCGTTGCATTGGCCAGTGGCAATATATGGGAAACATTTTAAAGGCTTACTATATTCACTCGGGAAAGTAACTTTCGTTCTCGACAAAGGGCTTACTTTTCCCTAAGGTCAAAGCGCAAATAGCTTTTGAGGTAAATCAGATGGCCAGTTTCGAGCTTCCTGGACCTAGCGGAAGCGTAACTCTTACTACAGGGGTCATAATGCCAGAACCTAGCTTGAGATAAAGAAGACCTTATGGCGTACAATACTGTGCAACAGGTAGTGGCCAAAAATAAATCATCACCGTTGTATTGTTTATAGTACTGAATGTGTGCAGATTAAAGTACGTAATTTCATTTTATCTGAGGGAAGCTGAACCTGTTATAGTTACTTCAAAGCATCGTAGATTGCATCCATGACAATTATATTAATACTGACCCCGCTGGAAGATCAATATTCCAGCGCTTAACACCTCTGTGTTTGTTTGGATTGGTTAACTCAAGAAGTTTAGTGTTCCAATCCAATGGGTTGGGGGGGGGGGGGGGAAGTAGTCCACTGCAAAACAGAGAATTAACTATACTAATACGACGTAAAAAGTCATCAGAATTATTTTCAAAAGTTAGCTTAGGCGCGTATATTGTTTTCGTAAAGATCTCCCGGTGAGTTTGATTCGATGACTGACCCAGTCGATCAGTTCTGTCTATCTAATACAAAACGATGAAAGTAGGGCAAATGCATATGCTACATCTTTAGTAAATTAGATACTTGTACGCTTCCTATATTGTTCGTTTCCTTTTTAGAACAGCAGTAGAATTCTGATGTCAGCCAACTCCGAATCGCATCGCCATATTAGATAGTGGCTGTCACTATACAGCTCGTCGTGGCTCGACGGTGTAAGGATACTAGAGTTTGCTTCGAATCAATACATATAAATTGCTTTCATAGCCGCTCTGTATATATACGCTTTTAGCTTGTTCACTAACGGCAGGTAGTGATATCAGCTGCCCTGTCGTCACAAGGCTCAAAGCGTGCCTGGTATGTATATCAGACCCGCGTTCCGAACGGAGCAGTGGCGTATAGCTAATAGAAGCTGAAGTGCGCTTGTCCCGACTTCGATTTACCCGTACAACGGCAATGTGAAATAATGATCTGACCTGCGTCTGCTACATCTGTTAATAATATCCTCTATATGTATAAACCCGTCACCACTGGTGTCATTGCGGTCGTATCGATTGGAGATTGTAAATCCAAGCCGATGGATTAGAGCAAATATATGCAACGATAAATATTTTCGCATCTTCCGACCCTGCGACACTCAAGTTGCTCCGCCGCTCATGTAAAACTTGTCAACAAGTGGTCTTTGGCTAAACGAAAAGCCTACAGTAATTTTTTCGTGACCTGGTGAGAGACTTATGCTGTCTCGCAGCCAGTTTACCATCTAAATTATATTGTTTCAATATTTAACTTATTGAGTTAATTTTTTCAAAAAGCAAAACATAAGTATGATATGACGGAAATGAAAGAATAAATGAATCATTATAACTTTATAATATAGAGTTCGCTGTCATTTTAAGCGGAAATCGATTCCAGCAACCACGTAAGTAAGACGTGCTAAGCAGTTGACCCTAATAACTAAATAATATTCTCGCGTTGGGTGCGGTTCAGCGCATTGAAGCAATTCTACTAATAATATCTTTGGTGGCAGGCACCCCTTGCTGAAAAATTGTATCGATATATATGCAAAGATTAGACTATATTCGGAAGACATTGTAACCCCGAATTGATTCATTTACCTGAGTGGGTATGAAGAGTGCCTGTAGATACTTGTATTCGTTTGGTGTCGTGATGACAAGTATGTAGCATCCCCCGAGCAACGGAATCAGAACAAGCAGGGCTTTAGCGGCTTTCCTGTATTGCTGAGACTCTGCTGTCGTAGCAGCCCGTAGCTTTGTTATTAGCACCCACATAATTTGCGCCAAAAAGAAGATGTTGATCTGTAATCACACGGCGTACATTATAGTACGAGCGAAACAGGCGTGACAGGCAGGTCAGAGATACGAGCGGACGAGGAAACAGGAATAGACATCTGACGTTACCTCGTTTCGAGACGGTAATACTTACAATTAGCACGGCAATAACGGGCACTGAGAAGATGAGATCGTACATATCAGGTACCCGCCAGACACAATCTGAAATCAATTATAATTCATCCATCGTAATTAACATTTTATTGTCATATATATGTACATAGTAGAGACGAAAAAGCAACATGGGTAAAAAAAAAGTAACATATTGGAAATAATTACGTCAACAGATGCTTAGGGAACATCTCAAGCAACGTACGGATATATTATAGTATTGGAAAGCTATAAGCTCCAAGACCATCCGACTAGAGAGAAAACGCCAGCGTCTCGTAGTACCGCTCAGCATGCTCTATACTTCGCGTCTGCTTTATTTTTGTACGAATCACTGTTATCAGTTAGTCAGGTTTACGTATTATAAGATGTACAGCACGCCAACTTCATTTATTTCTCTCTTTACGATACAGCTAATACAGATAATATAGATAATTATGACAACACAACTATCCGACAGTTCCAATTTGAAGTGACACATTTTAACAAAATGGATCAAGTGTATGATGATCACACACGACTCCATATTGCCAAGTCATATCTTAGATCTCAGCATCACGAACAGGATAAATTATTACTTATCTACAGAGGCTTCTAAGAAGTATAGCAATTGCCAGATCGTCGTGTTTGACAAACTTCACGTACGTTGTTTTCTCTTAGTAGGCAGACATCTTCCGCTTCTACCACTCTTTACTTGTCCTTATGGTCGATATTGGCGTAATTTACGCTTTACTATCACAATATTGTACGTTGCAGGATCACAAACTACCGGACAATATCATCTGGCACCGCTCCAATGGTTCCGACCCGATCAAGCGGCAGGACAGAACAGTGCAGGCTTAGTCAGCCCGCCATCTAGGAAAAGGGCTGTCGTCACTGTGAAGGGCTCATCGATAACCTTATCAAGGTTGTCAACGGGCGATGATTAACCACAGTGACAAGCTCACCTATAATGCTGTGTGGTTCCTCGAAATTAATTAGGGTACTGAAGAGAGTATTAGTGAGCACCAGCTCTACCGTACCGATAGTCGACCTATAAGTTCCCCTTTGCCACGAAGTGCGGGCAGTCGGAAGTTTGTTTTTTCGCTGTGCCAGCAGCTCAGAGTCGCGCACTGAGTTCAACAGATTCCTCATGTCATTCGTGACTTTAAGAAACTAACAGTCGTTGTCAGAGATGAGAGATCCGGGTACGAAAAGAAAGATATCGAGCCAGCGTTAAATAAATCTGTCAATGGTAGCCTTTGATGGTACGAGTTCCAAATGTACGGCACGTATGCTTGTGCAAGTTAACAAGGTAACGTATATTTACGCTGGACTCTCTATCATGCATGCTTAGAAGGGGCCGCTGTAACCCAGTTTCCTTGACACGGTTCTTGAATTTAGTTGACGGTGGCCCGTAGGATTTCTGAAATGTGACGCACCCGTGAAGTCGCGATTTAATCACTTTACGAGCCCAAATGATTCAAACACGACGACTGAGGGCTGACAAAACACCCAAGAAGGTGATACGTATGATGGTGGTGTTGCACGAGAAGGCTATGTAGACAAGAAGCCCCTGGTATTACTATAGGATTCATCTCGCCGTAACTGAAATGCGACCCCTTCATAAGCCGCGTCATTGCCCTAGGAAACTGGAGCATGGTCGATTAGCTAAATGAATTAGCTTAGATTCATCGGCCCGTTCTTCTCTGCTTTGCTTGCTGCTCGTTCGTAAACCAAAAAGCGTCTTGGGTCCATCGAATATTTTGTTGCTCAGAATCGGGCGGAAGTGGCTTACGGCGGCAGTGAGTGATGAACTTCAGTATGTCGCAGCCCTCTCCCAACTGCTGAAACAATCGAAATTTGTGATGGTGGCATCGTGGAAGAGACTGTTGTAAGACGCCCAGTGAAGATTACGGGAGCGAACATTTGTTGAGAGCTTCTGCAAAACTCCATTGCAGCTAGGCCGCAGCAGCATACGCTACCTCAAAAAGATCACCAAAAACGTTACGGTGATATGCCGTAATTTTCGTAACAGTCGTGCTGTACTGGCGTGAAATGTACATATCGTTCAAAATCCGTGAGTTATCCAGTCCCAATACGCAAGAGTTCCAGCGTCAAAATATCAAGGGAAAAAAATTATTATTCTACCGCAAAGCCCGTAACCAATCAAAAGGTTATCGACTATTGCTCATGAATTTTGGATGGTTGTACGCTGGCCAAACCAAACCCCAGCATGATATTGACGAAAATTTGGGGGGAATTTTTTTCCGTCGCAGTTACATAGCACACATAGAAAGAGTCACATAACTGGTGTGTACATAGAGCTTTGACACGTTTGATAATTCCACGTAATGCTTTCTGTGCGACTTTGCTCATTTTGCTAACAGGGAAAACTGTCATCGGCTGGCCCTTTCCAAACGAAAATGTTTAGATTAGATTTTAGCACCATATATGCACGGGTACTGTTTACCGACAGAGCTACCCTATAACTTTAACGGCAACTTAAACGGCAACTGCCTTAAGTTCGAGCCAGTATGAGTTGAGTAACACTGGTCTGGAGTAGCCGAATATGACTTGTTGTCTTTCTGTTACGCTTGTTACGCCGGTGACGACTACGTAATGAGGCATTTAATATATTCGATCTTACTCAGCAAGCTACCTTCGACTCGAAAGCGAGGCCGTTAGTGACAAACGAGGAAATTTCCTGACCGTAGCTATCAAATGTTCCTGGATTGCTAAGGACTAGTGGTTCGTCAACACAGTATTCCTGTTGTTTCGTAATTCTGAAACATCGAAACTATATAAGAGCAGCCATCATAAAATTGGTTTAGTGATTTGACGCCGTTGGTAGACAGTATGGGTTCGCTAGACCCCTGAATCTCCAGCGAATAGAGTATTTTTATAGTGGGTACTGGCTTAATGAATGAGACAACGTAGTACATTGTATACGTGCGCACGATATCAGTCCGGCTAGCTCCAGATCGAATAGGTACAACGATCACCTGCCCTAGCTTCAAATCACTGAGAGCTGTAGCTTCAGTTACCCACCTAAAAGTCCGCATAATACTGGCTAAAAGCTAATCGATGCCAACTGGCAATTCAGAAGCATTGGTCGTGGAATACTTCGTCTGGGGATCATCAAATTATCTGATAACCTGAACGGTATCAGTAGTGCACATAAAGGCCACAATGATTTCGAATTCGTAGCCGTAATGCGACATCGATCTGAGTCTGTGTGAGTGAGGCAAATATGATATCTCGGGGCAGTAAGTGTTGCTGGCTTAAGCACTTTTAAGTTTTTTTTAAGCTTAAGCTTAACTTACACTGCGATCAGATATGTCGGAGTTTTTCGATGAAGGGTGAGGTAGCTCTGTACCTACATCATGCACAGGGCAGTCGTCATTAGCGCTAGAAGTATCACTGACATCATTGTAACTAGCACAACTGATGCTGAGTGCATGTCTCATTGTTCGTCCCGCGAAAGATATAACGTGCAAGGTCTTTATACATCTGATAGACTTGTACTTCGCTGAAGCCCACCAAAGAACCTCGACTTGTCATTAAGCCCGTTTGCCGTTGCCGCCAGTGATACTGTTGTATCGTGAATCAATGCTGGCACAACGAGAATGAACTTGATAGCAAATAGTCTAGATGTTCGGTCTGTGAAGCGATTATCACCTGCGCTCGTAACTCATGTAACGCTCTAAGTAGGCAAGGAATAAGCTTTTTCGATTCGTCCGTGTGCTCGTTTCACGCGACGCTGTGTATGTTCTCAGCATTTTTACGCAGTTCGTGGATGCTGCCGTCTCGTACGTCAACGCGTACTTAGCTAGTCAAACATCCAATTCGGTCAGTGACGTTACTGAACTTGTGTATTAGGACCTGACTGAACAGCTGATTTGCTGATTTTACTTTTGAGAGATGAACCATTTCCTTGTACATCAATATGTTCGTCACTTGAGTCAAACGACCTGGGTGCACTCGGATAACTCTCGTCACCGATAATTTGGCTCCTGATCGAATTTCGTGGTCAGCTACGTAGGTAATTGATCGGAGCTACCAATCCATCGGTAGCGTTCGCAACACTATAGGGCTAAAACCACTTCGTAAACTAATTCGTAAACATAGCCGATGCACTAATGGATCTCACCTCCGTAAACACCAGAAAAACATACAATTGTTATTCCTGCATGTGTTATTGATCAGGTTCATGCGCGTCTAAAAGCCGCTAGTGGAGCTGCCCATTGGCAGAAACATCGGCATGGGCCGATCCAGCAGCATCGTATCTGTGCGCCCTGTGCTTGAAATGCGCGAGACATAATTCCGCTTGGCTTTCAGCTCGCAGCTAATTTCCATCTAATTCTCGACGTGGACATCAGCGGCTAAGTTCTCCAGCATTTCTTGACCGAAATCGTCGATTGACCGCAGGTGAACCTGTATCATACCGAGGCGATTCCGCGAGCTCTGAACGGTTCTCCGCGGCGACAGTCGCATCATTGGAAATTGTTCTATTCAACTTTTTTGCAAGCGAGTTTTGTCATCTTCACTCTGGCAGTTTGCTTTAGCTGATTAGTTTAATCCAAAAGGGGCGCCATGCTACCTGCAGCCGTTGCTTGGGTTCGATGTCTTGATACAGGGGCGTAAGCAACCGACATGATACGAACAATGATACAGTCACGAACGCGGTGATCCAGTCGCCAAAGTTCATCGCAGTGGTAACTTAAGCCGTAAAAACCGCAAGCGAATTTAGTCCGCGATGGCGCACATATGCACAAATAAGTAGGAAACAGTACTTTAAGACGCTGCTCAAAGGGACTTTCCCCCAGATCTGTTCGGTTATGCAAGGAAACGTAGGCAGTTTGAAACAAGCGCTTCATGGCTGCTGGCGGAACCAGGGTGAGGCCAGCGGGGGTGATCGGATAGCTTGGCAATTCGAATTCGTAAAATTTTGTATAGCAGAACTTGCTTCGAGAGATAGCATCAGTTTTATGAGATATAAAGGTACTTGAAATAAGGCAAAGATATATCATAGCGCGAGAAGGCTGTGACTTTTAAGGGCATTATTAGGGTAGGGCATGCGGCATATCGATTCTTAATTTACCCATTCTTTCTCCGTTCATGAAACGGCTGTTACAGATATGCGTATAATTATCACAGCATAGTTAAACCAGATATTCGACGATAATAAACAGACATAACAGTAGTATGCCACTAAGCAACGTTTAATGGTAGCACCAGATGCAGAACTAGAAACGTTTGTTATATGTGGATAGAAAAGACATACGTTGAAGCTTCGCTGAAGTTCGGTGCTTCTACGGAACACTTCCCTTAATGAAGACGGAAAATACTGTTATACGACGATATGGTATGTAAATTTAGCTCGTATTTGTTTATTTGCTAACATTGGCTTCTTATGCTGTACCGCCTGTCACCTTGTTGCAGAAATGCTCAGTCTATCATAATGTATATCAGCTGAGTTTTTCTAGCGTTGTCCACTGTATTACATATCGGCAAAAGGATCTTAATCGCATTTAAACGTCGAATACACTTTACAAGACGCCTTGCACTATATCGCCGTTGTTCAAGCAGCCCTTCCCAAACCTCCATTGGAGTTGGTCTGCGGCTTCTTCGAACGAACATTTACGATGGCATGATACCCAGCATAACAGAAGGAAAGCTAGCGCTCTGCGGCACAGCATAATTGCTAGTCATTCTGTTGGCTCGTTTGAGGATCCGTATGGGATTCGGATTGAACTCACGCTTGTAGGCCAAAGACAGAAACATATTGCAAATAGTTTGCATCTATAAACGATGGCAACCGTTTTGTCGAACCCAGATCTACATGAACCAAGGACAAATCGTTGACCTATCACCGCACACATTGTATCTGTATGAAGCAAGTACCATAATTTCAAAATAATTTTCCAAATCATAGGCGTACATTCTATTTGAATATAGATTGAGGTCAAATCTTCAAAAAGGTTTTCGGAGAGAGGGATGCATGCATTGCGTATGTGTCGTCTCTATACCGCGACAATTATAGGCTAGCTTGATAAACTGTTTTCGTAACCGATCATGATTCTGCTCCTTGAGGCGTGATATTCCTCAATATGCATTTTCCAATAGGTAAAACACTATTTACATCTCATGTAACATATTGCTACAATGTCTCATTCGTTCTGTCCTAAACATTCTAGAGGCCATTTTGGAGCTGCAAGTGGACTAATTAGACATTTTATCTATATATGCGTAACAGTACATAGGTACATACATGTCTGCTCGTTAGGGCTATTTTCTGAAAACGTGTCGTCCGTAGTGTACGACTTCTTGACAATTGCCCAACAAAGGACGACTGCTGCTGGCGTGCCCCACCCGATAAACATGTATGCCGATAACTTCACCAGCTCTACGGAAAACGTCTTCACGACCAGGATGTACAGATATAGTCCTATAATAACAGAAAAAAAAACATAAAATGCACAACAAGGAAAGAGAAGATCAGATTATTAAGCTGAACATACGTATCGCATATGTAGAGAAATGCGACCGCCATTGCGTACTCATTACCTTATATATATATATATGGCCCTAGTTTGCCTACAAGAATCTAAAGCATGGAAAAAAATCGACCGTTACGGCAACTAATGCAAAAAGAGAGAATTAGGTCTTGCCTACACTGCAGTAAAAACTCGTTTGTAGGTGCTGCCTTTTTTGTAACAGAATATATAACTCTTGAAATTCCGAAATACAGACATGATAATGTGAACAATTATGATATACTATATTTTACTCGATCTATAAATATATTTTGAATGTGGCAACGCTGTAAAATAGAGGAAACTATTTAGCCAAAGTCTAACCGTGCTAACTACATGGAAGCAAATTATTTACAGAACGTTTCACTCATCGTAGACATTCACAAGGAAGTCCCGATTAGGTTCAATCTAGCGTTCGGTCTTTTGTGACCATTTTAACCCCCAATACGGTCAATATAAAAACGAACCTGCTTATCTCCACGGGTCGCTTGCAGACTGATATATTCACAATACAGTTGCTACCTGTTATCAAATTACTCGTCCACTGCATACGAATTAAGCACAAATTTTAGCCTACTATATATTCGACAGTGGAGATCTGTATATCCTCGTCCAGCTAGTAAACCGCTTCCGGTAGAGTTCTATCAGAGCTAGCCATGATAACGGCGCACTACGCAAAAAACTGTGCATTTCTTATTAAATTATTCGATTGGTACCCCGCATCTAAGTTTACAAGTTATGGATAGTTGAACTGACCTAGCCTCCCAGAAACTGTTATCTGGGTACTAAGAATCGGGTCAATTCGTAGCAGTAAGGTGCGGACGGAAAACTTCTATATTGGCGGGAAAGGGTAGTTGGGGAAGTGGACAAGACCTAAAAAATCTACAGACCCATGATTGCAGGGGTCCAAGTAGCGCATAAAGTTCGAATCGCTACCTCCTAGCAAGATCGGTCGTGGGCCTAAAGATTGAGCCTCATTGTTCATGTTCTTATAATGTAGTCCAGATAATTAAGGGAGTACATTTTATATGCAACACGTGCAAGGAAGGCTGCAATAGTTAAAACTAAGGCGATAGTTCAGTATTCCAAGGCTGTTTTTTTTTTTTTTTTTTCGCAAATACTGTTAGGGAATAAATTATGGTCCTTCAACCGTAGATAGTGATAAGGCTCTATCGTAAAAACTCATTACATCTGCAAATGAAAGCTCATCGTACCGTGCCATTACTCAGTTCTTTCTATGCTCAACTATGTTCTACGCGTGCGTGCGCCTACATTGCTAAATGGAGGCTATCACTTTCAATGATTATTGTGCATTGGGGGCGGTATGCTGTAAATGTAGCTTTTTGATATGCATCGAACACATATGCGACGCGAATGAGGGTGTACTAAAGTGGGTTCCCTTGGAATTGAGGCCGTAGGCCCTTTTAGAGCCTTAAGTTCCCGCTGCGGCATGGCCTTGCCCATCACGAATTCACTCTGTGATGAAGAAGCCGGTACGTGCAATACTTGTTCCCGTTACAGTTTCGCGCTGCATGCCCTTTGTTACGAGCGTATCATTTCGGCTCCACTGATTGCTAACCACTACAACACCCCCTACAAAGCGAGGCCAGAGCTAAAGCCCTAGTCGCTTCAACATAACCGGTAACAGCGTAAATACTTGCGGCCGACGCACAGCGTGTAACGCTGATTAACGTATGAGGCAACATTTGGGTCTTTTTATAAACACGATACACATAGAAATATCGACAAATTCAATACATTTAAAAATATCATACATCTATAAACACTGCGCAACTCCGACGATACGCTAGGAATTGACAGTTATGACGATTTGTTTCGCTGTGCAATTACTTCAGTCCGCCACGCGAACTCAAATCGTAAATCACTTTGATAAGTGTTTAACGAGCACGACATTTAGCGGGTCAAGGATCTTCTATAATCATCCTTTGCAGAGAATTCAATGTTCTTCTAATGTAATAGGCAAATAAATCATAATTTGCATTTGGTTTGCTTTATAAGATTTAGTTTTAGTTTAGAGCAAAACTAACAACTCCTTTCACAACTCCCTTAACTCAACACAACTTAACTCCTTTTCAACAGAAGCCCAAAAGAGTGTAAATGAAGCTGTCCAATACAAATTCTGAATGTTTGGCATAAGTGGTTCTTAAAGTCAGCGTTTTCTTGATAGAAAAAGCATAGAGGCTTCTTTTGTATAGCCTTACTCATATGGGGTGAGTCTATATGGGCTAACATTTTGTTAAATCAATAGCATGAAGAATATACGCATTATACTGATATGTTTGTCTAATACTCGTCTATTATGCGACTCAAATGGGCGCAATCCACTTCATTCTATTTTGAAGAAGTATCCATCGAAGCAACCTATGCCGTTGACCCATACGGCCACAAAAAGTAGAACTGTTTACCTTCAGAGATGAAGCCGCTAGTCATTTCGTGCAAAGCAGTTAGTCTTTCAATAAAGTCGAAAAGACAATACTTTCCTTGCTATGATCTTTAAAGACGATACTTTATAATCACTCATTGTCGAGGTAGGCGGGTTAAAGGTTATCGTTAGTCTACTATAGGTCCACATAAAGTTCTGCGGTACAATGTAAAGCTGAATTTTCAATAGTCCAAGTACATTGTTCAAGCGTTTTGCTCGAGAAGTAGCGATAAACAGTAGTAATATGCAGCGCAGGAGAATGGATATTGTTTACTTATTATCGTTATGTAGTATAAGTAACTTCTCATTCATGATCGTCATCCTCCACCACGTAATGCTGTTTTGTGCAAACGATGCCTTATCCCTGAGAACTTATTAGAACTCCATTAACACGTGACACCTCTTAATAACAACGATTCATTGTAGAACGGGTACCATACCTGAATTTTACGTGACTTATATGCACATATACGCATCTCTGCTAAGCTTAGGAGCATTTAGCTCTTCTAATTTTTCTGTGAAATTCGTATCGATTGCATCCAGTGTCATATATGCTGGATATTCAATGGCTCAAGTTCCCATTGAAACGGGCAAAACTGCAGCGAGCTGGTTATCTTGTTTCTTTACCCTTCGACAAAAATTTGATCAAGTGTGAAAAACTAGCCCTCCCATATGACACCACATTTAGTAACACGAATGGCCCTAGACTTCTTAAGCCTCGAAAATTCAGCAAATTTCATAGTATTAAAATCTAAAATCAACGTTTACTTGGTACAGAAACGCGAAAGCCCATACAGTCCCTGTCTCAAAGACATCGAAACATATCTTCGATTCTTTTGGCTGAGGGAATGGACAGGAACCCTCAGTCGAAGCTCTCTCATCTTCGATTTGCTTCAGAACTGGTGGTATCTGAGACGGTGGCTATACGGGCCTTCGAATCTCTGCAAAGAAAACGTTGATTGATGATGAAACTATCACAAAAAATAGGGTAATATGGAAGTATTTTTCGCACTTTACAAGCTAATTAGACACCTCATCTTTCTACGTCAGTTTCGTCTGCTAAAAAGCTACGCCTCCACATAGAAAGTAAATTACGTCTCATAAAAGCTTTACAATGATTTATGAGCCAGTGCGTTTTGAGCGAGTGTATATACAATTGGATAGCATCGATGTTCGTTTGATAGAGAGATTGAATAAACGAAGTTGCCGAGAGTGAAGCACAACTTCATGGAGATGAATGCGTCTGTTCTATAAAGCTAAGGCATTGAAGTTTTTCTACACTCGTGATGGCACTTGTTTTTGTTATCAGTAACCCGTTCGCTTTTGAAGAAACCTAGACGACTTTATTACTACAATTCGTCGTTTGATCAAAATAGTATTTATGACATACGCATTACATTGTGGTTGATCATGACCGCAGATTAGAATCAAAATTGACTATTTGAAAGAACGATTTATGTCGGAACTAGGCAGAGCTGTGGTAGGGATACAGGCGTCAGTCCGGCTGGGTGGTTTAGATAGCGCGTTGTCATTGTTCCCACTCGCTGCACTCGAGCAAAGTGCAGCTCGTGGACGTACTGATTGATAACTCGGCCATCCGAAAACTCGCATCGATTTGTGGTAGACCGATCCTACTCTTTTATCTGCCAAACTTGGGACTAAGTCATTTTGAAGCATAGACCTCTGTAGTTATAATTACAGCTTTTTTTTTTTTTTTTTTTTTTTTTTTTTAGAAAAGGAAAAACCTGTTTGTCCTGTTTGATGACTGACCTCTTCGCACCAATCATCATTAGCGGCGCATACAACACCTTGTGAGGTTATATCGTTCACCGGCACGAGTGAGTTTAATCAATATTTTCTTGAAGCAATTTTCCATAAATTTATTGATAATATTCCCTACCCATATATATATATATATATATATATATATATATATATATATATTTCGTAAATTCGCTATATTCGTCAGTTCGATGTCATATCCTGTAACTTTATAAACCTTATACTGCTCATTGTTAACAGTTACTAATAATTATTATATGCTTAAAAATATGCATTTATCGGCATCTAAGGCGATCTTATTTATATCAGGGCCAACAAGCATGACAATATGATACTAAGATGCTATTAAATTTTAGGATTCAGGAGAGATTCATTGCAATGATTGTTTTTATCATGGGGCACAAGTGCAGGTTCCATCGCTAGAGCTCTTTTTTAGATGCAGACTAATGAAGATTTTACGTTAACCTTTCATGATGAACTTAAACGAACATTTTTGCCAAACTGGCCGTTATCATTGTTTTGTGGCAGTATTTGACGTTGAGTGTGCATTTGGAATTAAAGAAAAAATTTGTTTGCTCCACAATGAATTCGAGGTTGACAAAACGAACGAAGACTTCTCTCTTTTCTGTTGGTTAGCCCCTGGCACGACGAGGCGCCACAGGACAACTAATGAATTAATTGATCTTCAGGATTTGTTCGGTTTATTACTTACCGTGACATGATCGTATGCCACATAGATCCTTTCGTGTAACCATATACGCAATAATCTTAGAAAAATGCCTCATTTCCAAGGGAAAACGTGTGACTATAATCGAGCTGTGATTACGTTTGGGGGTAATAGTCAAGTGAACGAAAAATTATTGATTTCATCATTGCCATCCAGTCTTTATTCTGTGGAGAAGTTCACTGGACTTTGACTTCACAAACGGACATCGAGCGTAAGCATGATGACGTAGCGTTTCCAAACGTTGGGCCGATCCATTTAGTCTTCTGACGTGACTAATTCAGCGATGGTAAACCAGAAAGCGCTAGAAGTCAAAAGAAGGTTCCGGCCGTCAGTGTCCAGATCCTCCTTCGAGGGACAAAGGCCAACGCGTGGGGTGCAATGCATCATTTCGTGGTTGTCGGAGCTATAACTGACGGGGTTCGCCTGGCAGTTAGCCTCTCGCCTTTCCGTCCTTTCCCACCATAGTAATAAGGACTAAGAACAAAGTTGAGTTAGGCGTGCCGGTTGTCGCGGCCAGCCAGCTCATATTTGACGATGACAAGCGCTTCAACATCCGTTAGAAGTAGTTGAGGTCATCGAAAGGCTGAAGGAGGTCACGTTAGATGTAAGTCAGCTATACTTTTAATAAGTAGTTATGAATGTTCACTTGGCTAATTTTTACTCAACAAAGTATAGTAAGAGTTAACAGTTTTTCTTTTTTTCTAAATGTACCTGCACATACATTTCGATAGCTGTACGCGAATAAATAATTAGCTAGTTATCTACGTTTAATAAATGATTAAATAACGCGTTAACTAGAACTTCACATGTGTATGTAAGCATCCGAGACGAATTATCCCTGGGGCCACATTGGTCGCGCAGTTTTTATGGCGTTTATTTACTCGTTTCTTAAACACTGACAGCAGGAACAGAGGTAACTTAAAAAGGCGACGACAATACTGCGAAGCATTGATCATCATGCGATTCTTCCGATTCGTCCACACGACATTGGCCTTGACACGGCGAACCCGTGCGTTTTCGGTATGATATAACTTCGATTCTTTTGTTCGAGCGAATGGATAGGAACTTTTAGGTCAAGCACACTTTTTCCTTAAAGCTTCAAAATCAATGGTAATAGTATTTCCAGTTTATTTTAATAGGGCGTATCTATGGCTGTCTTGTATACCGAAGCCTGGAAGCCTTATTGTCTTTTGTGCTGGTTTAGGTTATGCCGGCAGTAGCTCGAAGATTTATCAGTAAAAAAAAAAGCGCACATACGCACTTGTCTCCGTGTAAAATGTAAACCAGCGAAAGTATTATTGTTTTAATTCACATAAATAGTCTAGCGTTTATAGACCTGCGGAACATCGTGATGCTTGAACAAAAGTTTGATTAGCTGAACACGTTAGTTTCAACTGGTAAAATATGAAGTCAACAATGTTCCGCATAAGAGCATTCTTATGTTCATTTTATCTGGGGTCACCTACATTTTACATGACCCCAAATTCGACTGTCAGCAGAATATTAACTAACCTTAATTTGCCTCAATTTATTAAGAACCTAATTAATTTTCTTATGATTAGCGGAACATAAAGGTGGAAGACCTTCTTTGCGATATAACATATGACACTTGCGAACTCGGGTGGGCGCTGTACGTTCATCCCTCAAGATTTCTCATTAGTCGCATAGTGAGGTGTCGTAGTGGAGCAGCGACCGGCCCTTCCATAACAGATTCAAAGGCGAAACATTGCAGAGTTAGGATCCCTATATGATTTTAATGGGACAATGATCTTTTTAGATGTCTTAGATCGTGGCAACGTAATCAAGTGGTGTACAAACATACAAACAAGCATTGTCTCCTTTGGCTTAAAAGCCAGCCTATTCCTGTGAATCACCTGCTTGCAACGTAGGTGACAAACTCAAGTTTAAATGTTATGCTGGTTTTCGTATTCGAGTAGCAGCTATTAGTCTAGAGGCCAATACTAGTAAAATGGTTCGAGAAGGATCAACGCTTTATAATGAACTAAACTACGTGAAAACAATAAAAATCGTGCAGACACAATCTATGTCGGCACATTCATAGTCAATTAGCGTCACAGGTGTCGCATTAGTTCTGCAGACTTGAAGTTCAGAAGACGAACGAACTGCCACCATCAAATGACGGCCTGTACAATAAACAGTCTATAATGCGCACGCTAGAGTAGATAGTTTTCGTTTAGGAGAGAAGTTCAGGCCACTGTCTTCCTTCTTTAGACACGAGATATATGTACATTGTTACGATAATTAAGAACAAACACTAAACTTACTTCATCTCACAGCTAAATATCGTATGAAAAAAAAACTCAAGTTTGCAGAAACCTATTAAATATTACTTGGCAAAGGATTTCTCGTAAGTTGTAGACAATGCGCGAAGTCGCAGCTTGACAAAGTGTACGGGATTGCAGTATTCCAATTCTGGTTGTGCTTTTTCAGTATTTGTAATTCTGCAAATTCACGTGTCGCCACCAACTGGGACAATGTCCAGAAAGGTGGCGCAGGCCTTCAAGCGCTAGACAACGTAAAACCATAGCTTTTTCTCTTTTCGCTTTACGGTCACCCCGATTATTTGATTCCAACTATAAATCCTTTCGGCATGGCAGTATCGCATACAACACAGCTTGCAGCCCACCGCCATTGGCGGCGCTAACGAGCAAGTTATGTGGGTGGAAACTCTAGTCCCTGAAAAGTGCTACTAAAAGAAATATATGTAAGGGCGGACCATTTCAGCCAACGTCAGCGTCCTTTTTTCTGACCACGGCGCAGCATTTGACGCACAGCATTAGCAAGCTGCGTTGCGATGTACATCTTACCATCCTTAGTGTACAGCATCCGAGTGCATTCTGGTTACAATCGCAAAACACTGTAGCCTCAGGCAACTATGCTTCTCTACAACGATGACGATAGTAACATGCGAGTACCAAATCAATTGACCGTCGTTTTTATAGTCGAACAAGACGACAAAAAGCCACTAGGGATATGTGTAATAACTACATGTTGCGTAGGATATGTACAACCCTGCGGGTGTAGCATAGCAGCAAAATGGCTTGATGTAGTTCGATTCAACTGCTATTGGTGAAGCATCCAAATATAGCGAGCTCGCTATGAACTCTAATTCGTATGCGCGGCAAAGGTTCGAACCAGTCCGTGCATGGTAACAGGACGTGAAGGGATCATTTTCGGCCAGAGTTTTTTCGCGTCCTTTCGCAGTCATCCGCAAGGCAAAGCTTTGGCTGTTTGGGGCCTATCTCAAATGCTTTAGCATCGTCGGTGGATAGTATTGATAAAATCTCTCGAACAGGAAAAAATTCCCAGTGAACAAAGGTGCTGCGTTTGTAAATAGAAGCCTGTCCTATAGGTACACTTTTAAAAGCGTCTATTGTTCGGCCGAAGTCATGTACTATTTACGGCAAACCGAAGTAGCTTTCCACATTTTCGTTGATTACGCCGAAGCTAGCTGCGACCTATTTAGTGTAGTACTGAGAACGATTGTAATAACAGATAGTAACAGAAAAATAGTGGAACATACAGGTATAATCATTTGCACTCTTCCAACTTTGAATTACACTACAACGTATTAGTGAAGCTATAGTTCATATAACGAACTTATAGGCCTTCATCGGTCATGGGATTCGAAGAGAATCTTCGATATCTACGACATATTGTCTTAGCTTGGTACCTTCGACAAACATCCAAAAGAAGCTCGTGCCCATAAGATACGTGAGCGGTATATAGAGGTAGCACGTGAAATCCCCGAACTCCCGAACGAGAATTAGTCGTTGAATCGTAAACCATACGATGGCTGTTAGCAGATAGGTTACCATGAGGTTAAGATGGATTGTATTTCGTAAACATCGTAAATCCCTGAAAAGGTTGACAGAGAAAAATCAATAAATATTAGCGATTCGTTGCTGATTTGAGATCCACCACCTTGTATGCTATAACAAATGTTGTTTCCTTGTATTTGGTCCTGCAATCGGTGATACGCGCTTTTTAGCTTCACGCGTACGAACCTGGTTGTAGTAACCATTGTGAGTCCGGCTTGATTGCGATGTATGTTCACGTCTATTGTTCTATGTGTGTCTATATCGGTCACAATGCACAGAGTTGCCGCTAGCTAGCTGACTTAGATAACTAGATTTAGTGGGCCCTATGTGGGTGGCCCTTTATATACAGATCTGGGATTACCTAAAAGTTTCGACGTGTTCGCGAAGTTCGTTTTTACATATCGTTCATAATGGTCGAATATGACGACAGCATAAACGCGTCTACAATGGTATGCGTTGAAAAAGATACGTAGTCAGAAAAGCACCGCCGTCTAAATAATGCCTGCGTGCTACGGATGGGCCAGTTACAAAATGGCCTCTTTTAATTAGCCCAGAATGCGCCTTCGTCTATATTGCCCATTGGGTTTCTTCAGTTGAGTGGTACCTTTTCTTTCTTAGTTCAATGCTGTTTCTGTGTATGCTGCTCACGACTGCTGCAAGCCTCACACGTCGCGTGTCTTTCCTGTATTAAGCATTTACTGCAGTAGATCTGAACGTCTGAAATTTACCACGCCGCATGTTTATCAGAAACATACAGTAGTAACTTGTATTTTTCCAAAAAAATAGAAGAAGATCAATAAAAAAAAATCAACACTAGTGTTTATGGTAGTGTCACATGCAGCTCAACCAAGAAAGACAACGCGAACAACGAAGCTAACGAGCGGTTAAGTAAAATAGTAAAGTGCTAGCAATGCGGACGGCAAATACAATGCAACACGTTTTTTACTCGTGTAATCGAGCGCAAAGGGCCAACCCACAGTGACGTCGGCCGGAACGTACGTAACCATGTTATTTTTCACGTTCATTAATGATTGTTTAATTTCTAAATGTAATTTCATTGTGTGAAGCTTTAACGACGATCCGAGAAGTAGCAGTTGAACGAGTTTGAATCTTTTGTTTATCATCCAACTTCATGATTGGGCCTTATACAGATATCCGACTTATCAAAAACAGCACACTGCGGACTATAAGGAGCCCAGCTGTAGTTTTTTGGCGTTAAAGACAATAACATAGTCCTAATGATTTAGATAATAAGGTCCAATCGATTTCAGGCGAGCAGGCAGATTGTTCATCAGGTTCGGCTAAGCCTTTTTCTGTAGCGTAGCCAGCGAAAAGGTTGACTTTGATCGCTTGCATTGCATGTCTTAGTGACGTTCGTCGCGTCTGGTTCACTATGTGTAACAAACGTAGATTTGATCCAAAGTCATTGTGTGAACACGGAGAGCCTTAATTATTACTATTCAAGGCTCATAGCTCTAACTGCTGCATAACAGCTTAATATTCAAATTACAATCGTTGCGGGGAAGACATATTCCACTACCTAGGCTATTCCATACGGGCTGTTCAGAAAATTACGTGACGTTTGACGGTCTCGAAGTGAGTATCTTGTGTAATTTACAACACACGTCCAGATAGTGACGCTGATACATAGATAGAGAGAATGCTTAGAAGACTCTGAACTCTTGACAATATCTTAGCCTATTATTATAATGATAACGAACTTGGCGTTGTTACGTAGTACAGAATAATAGTTTAGTACGAGTAAATTATAGTTAATACCACTAAACTTTAGCATACCTTTATAAGTACACTGTGCATTGTATAACGCAACTTATTATCGTAGCTTACTTTGTTGGCTAATATAAGTGAAGGACATAATAACGCCATATATGTTTTTGGTAATCGTGAGTAGATCCGGGCATACTCAGCGATAAACTTTATTCGCTTAAAGAATTTTGACTATATTTCGTATCTATTTGAAATTTTCTATTTATTGGCCAATTGAGAACTTACCGATTCTGATATGAAAAGCGTCTGCTCTATTTACACTGAAGAGGACTCCGTTGTCCGGAGGCCTCGGTAGATTCTGTCATTTTACGATTAAGTTAAGTTACAGCTCAGACGTCCGTTTTATTAATTATAAGATATCATAAAACAGGCAATAAATAGGACCGAGCTTGGATGGCAAAAAAAATCACAAGGGACAGCTAATAGGAAGCATCTTAGCATAAGGACTATTCATAGAAATCTGCCTTTTATTTATTGCATTACGCCATTGATCGTATTATACTACACCGAACAAACAAACGCTCTGCCGAGCGTTGTCAGTATATACAAATCGATTAGTAGTATTATGATGCATCACATATAACAGAAAACGAGTATTTCTTTAAGTGGAAATAGGCAAATTCGAATGTGTATTATATGTACATTGTGGTAGAATCACATCCAGGTTGGATAGCACGACCATGTCTTATACTACTAGCGAATATTTGTGTTGTATCTTTGTTCGATCAGACTTGTCGTATGGACAGTGTGCCTCGTCAGCCCAACTTGAACCAGTGAATGGTGACCATTTTTCAAAAAGGTCTAGCCGATCCAGCCACTTCGTAGATATGAAGAATAAATAGACGAAAAACGCTATACCACCATGTGCCTGTACTTGTAAAATTTGCATGCCATTATGGACGGGTATTAAACGGATAATTTATGCAACTGGAACCGAGTTTAGCTAGTCTGACTTCGTGTCCGGTCAGAATCGTCCCGAGTCCCGAGTTCAGCCCAAAATGACTTCTGGTAACAGATATTTGTAATGTTCCCTGAGAAATTGTACCTAGCCGGGATAGTCCGATCACAAGTTGGAGCTTATGTTTTCCACAGATGCGAAATACTGTCTGTACGTAAAAGACGCTACGTAAGGAAGTAGATGAATATCTGTTCAACGTGGATACGACGTGCTATCTAATCTACTACAGCAGGTTCATTTCGAAGCGTCACCATGAGCTGGAGGACGAAACCGGTTAAAATATAAGCCTTCAGAGTTGACATATAGCCATTACGCGATCGTATCAACAAGCGTATGAAGTAAATCTGTGCTAGTGGCATGCACGCTTATCATAAACATACAACTCGACCGACACCGGCATGGATCCACTACGAAATGTAGTCCTCTTCAACGATGCATAGCTACAAATAGTGTTATCGGTTTGTGCTTACGCAGCACCGGTGCGCAGCGCTGAAACCGTACGAACGGTCGAAGGATAAGATTAAATAAATATCTGTAGGTACATTTGTTTCTACAAAGGTGTAAGTGAACCTTAGAAAAACGATGCTATTTTTGAGATAGTCGTAGTTTGTCTACGTTGGAGTATATACCGTAGAAGATATAATGAACTTTACTCCTTTCATTTTTCAACAATAGGAACTATGTTTCACACTACTTCTCGAGATCTATTCAAGACCTTTTGGTCCGCTGAATTTACAGCGTCAACGATTCGATATATCATTTTTACCTGGAATTTGGCACCACAAATAGAATCGGGTCCTTTTTGGTACTAAGTTAGGGCTTTTTCCTGAACAAATTTGATACCATCCAGATTAAATCGAATTCGAAAGCAGACAGCGTATACATGTCTCCTGTTCGTATCTTGGATAATCATTTTTATGACACTATCAGTTTTTTTTAACGTTTCTTAATTGCCGATCAGGTCTACGTATATTTAGTAAGTGTGCTGCACAATATCTACTGGATCAAACCTAGTCGACCTAAATAATCTTGCTCTCGTCTAACAACCGGATCAGCCTGGGGGAAAATTAGGGATTCGACACAGCGAAAAATCATAGGGGTGTGTGTGTGTGGGGGGGGGGGGGGAATTAGAATAAATCGAGGGTTTCCTCGATTTCAATGGACGTCTCGCCGTGGGAACCTTTCTATTAATGACTATCAGTTTGTTGATGTTGACTACAGTCTCGCACTACAGATTACTTTACCTGCTAATATTATCAACGCGGCCTCAAAAGTATGTATAATTGTTGACCCTATTTGCGGTGGGTCAAACTCTAATCATGGCATCCTTATGCTCTATGTATAAATTACTGGCGTTTATGTCAAGTGCTAAAAAATTGACCTGTCAAAATGCGGCCACAATCTAAAACTAGTTACGTCTATGTGAATTATAAGGTTCATTGTTAAAACTGTGCTACAGACTTACTTACTAATTGAAAAATTACTTAGCTTCACGTACTTGTAATAGATGAATATCCAAATGGCTATAATAAGTGCTACCATCGAGCATCCGTACCCGATCGAGTATATCATTATATTTGATGTTTGATTCTGAAAGAGATTGAATAGTAAAGCAATAAACATAATGCGGACAACCAGGAGTTGTGTAAACACGATGGTGCCTAACAGGCAGATGATCTCTAATAGCCTGGACGCTACATCAAGGGCTCGTCGTTTTTTTATTACTAACCAATCAGAAGCAAGCTTCTCAAGCCCTATTGCTCTACAATAATATAACTTAATCCTAACTTTATTCTTGTTTTAGGCGTAGCAAGCTCTATCCACTATCTCGTGACTGTGTAGCGGTCAACATCAAACAGATAAGCTATTGCTTTTTCTAGTTATAAGTAAAGAACTTCCTTGCATTTTTCAAGCCCGAAATTTACTAACTGCTAAATAACAACCAATCAACACTATACAAACAAAGATGACAAACAAATATCGATACGCTTTTAGTTGGGTCTTTGATAACACTAGAGACGAGCAATGGCATTGTAAGCCCGGACTAAAGCAAGACCTAAAGTGACTTGTAAATGGCGAGATAGTAACATCGACCTGATTATCAATAGAGATGAGCGGTACGCAGTTGGAATAATCGCTTTTCGCGTGCCAAGTGCCATTTAGGAAGCACCTACGCGTCACGTTTTTCGAAGTGTCGTAATATAGGCCGTTTAGAGACTCGAAGCATGGCACTTCTGCCAAGCGTCCTGCCTGCGTCAGTGGCCAACATGACAAACCTGATTATGCATGAAAAATAAACAAGTTAGATCACGCCGGTCAGATAGCTACTGTGGATTTTATCGTCCTTCATTGAATTGATCTAATAATTATAACAGAATTGGGTGATTTCTTAGATTTCGGCTGTTTGCATTTTATCTGCAAGCTTACGCTTTTAATGTTTTACTTAAGGAAGGCCTCGATAGTATCACGGATAATATGATCTGACAGATGCCTAAGGTATAGTCAATGATAATATTTGAGACTGAGAACGTCGGCACACTAAAAGATAAGAACTGGCATTTTCTTAAAAATAAAGCAACAGAATGCCGTGAATGAAGTACAAGGGATAAATATCGTAGAATGATCATCTCATATATAAATTTGCCCGAAGCAATTTGCGCATGTTTAATCGTAGTAACTAAATAAAATGGCGGGTACTAACCGTCCCACGTAGCGTTGCAGTACTTGCTAGAAGACCTAAGAAGACTGCTATTGTATGCGTTGAGCAGACAGTCAATCATCGACAGGGCATTACTGTTGTCGGTACCGTTGCCCACGGGCTCTGACATGTCCCATGTCATGACGCTGTCCTTTGCCGAAGGCGTAGCCATTGCACGAGCCCCGCGCCTGACGCCGAAGGGCGGCGGTGACGACGATGCAAAAGCGATGGCTGGCTCTGGGGATGAAACCGGGAGTGGCGTCGAGGATGGCGCCACGCACCACCGAAAGCGACTCACTTCCGCTGACTGCCGCCGATTGACCAATCAAAACGCAACGAAATTAAAAAAAACACATAAAAGAAGCACAATGTCATTAAATACTGTTATAATGAATGGAAGCAAAAACATAACTAATACAAATATTTATGCTATCCAAAGTACTAACACCAGCGTCGTGTAGTGTAAGAGTTTATATATGATAAGGATAAATGCGGTAGGAATAGTTAAGCACAAATCCTGTGCGTTTACCTTATTATTAATTGATAGAAGCAAGTCTGTTTCTGACCAGATCATATTTACTCGAACACAGTCACCCTTGTAAATGTGAAGATTAGGCTTGGCCTGTGCTCTATCATAAGAGTTTTTCACGCTTTGTAAATTAGACGATCTCGAAGTTCGAATTGGTATAAGTTACTACGGAGAGAACTGCAATCGCAGTCGACCAACTCGTTCAAGCTGTGCTTTAGCCACTACATAAGTTGCACTAGCTCCTTATTGAAGGAGTAATATCTATTAAGATATATATACTCGGATGATGACGTACGTCTCAACATGTTACATTCTTTTTTTCAGCCTAAAATACGCCTGCAAAGACAGCAATGTATATAATTAGAATGTGTTTATTGTACATTAGCTTCCTAGTTTGTGTTGACTATTCAGTCTGCCTCTTGAATTAACTAGAATAAACTCGATTTTGATGTAATACGCTCTTACAAGGTCCTCTTATAGCTGCATTGCAGTTGCCCAATGCGGAATCAAAGACCAGTGTTTTCTCGGGGCAGCTTTCCATGTTATCCTTGACATCGCTTTGCAGCATCGTTGCAGCACTGAGCTCAGCCCCGTTCCGTGTTTTCGTGCATACTACATCGACTTGTTCTCTCAGATCGCAGTTTTAGGTGCCGACCTTCGTATTTTTCTAGTGTACAAGAGGAAAAGTCTTCTTTGTGTATGTGGATGTACGAATGAAAGAAATTGAACGTCCGTCCCAATCCGCTATCTCCTGCTATGCTTCTATTTAGACTGAGTGTTCTTTATTTGCCTTGAGCTAACCGCGCATGATACGGCAGGCCGTGGGTTAAAATGTAAAAGTAAAAGATCAAAGGCAACAGAGTCGCGGAGGTGACTATTAACTCTTTGCAACCGCCGCAGAACGTTCTCTGGCTCTATACAGATCCTTTTTCGAGCGATCCAGCGGTCTGGATCCGCTTCGTATTGTTCCTCTTACCACGCAATGTCAAGCTCCTCCGTGGAGATAAGCGCTCTTGAAAGAGTTCATGCGTTCACTGTCGCCGAAGGCGTTCACTTCGTTCGCTCTTGCTAACCTTCACGAGAATTTCTACCGCTAATGCCGTCGCCATGCGAAACGATCTGAACGAGTACCCTTTTTCACTGTAGCTATGACCTTCTCCTTTAAGCAGCAATAAAATGTTAACGATAGATGGTAATAGTCATACTGGCTGTCCCGGCGACATCTTCTTCAACCGATTATAAAGCCATAATAGACGTCTTTGTATTGGTTATGCGTCTATCTAGAAAATCAGCACAAGTCGCTCGATCATCCTCTATGAGTCTTTTACGGCTGTGACATTGAATGTATCTGAAAATAGAGTTTTGTCGGTTATCTGATTTGCCAACTTACGTGCAACGTACCCTGTGTGCCTAATGGAAGAACTAAGAAAAGCTCTAATCGCATCGCAGTTAATCATCAAACTTCTGCTAGTGCTTAGAGAGAGGGCAGGAGTGGTTGTGTTATTTACACCTCACGCTTCGAGTGAAATGTCCAGAAGCAATCTGTTTGCTTCTGTAACTGTGCAATTTGGTATTCGTGAGGAACGTTCCTGGAACTGCTGCGAATACGCTCTCATTCATGCCTACAAACGAAAAAGCTTTTAGGGAAAATCTTTAGGTGTTCGCTAACTTAAACATACGAGGATTTTTTGAGAACTTTTACGTCGGCCGCAGCCGATGATGGAACGGAAACGGATGTTAGAAATCCTTTAGTGAGGATATTTACTCCTTAGGAAGGGCACTCCTAAAGCGTGCCACATCCTAAATAGTAAATTTCTGCGTAGAAGACCTTTATTTTTTTATATAACATAATTTTGTTTTATTCACCATTAACAAGTTTTAACCAACATTTGATGCGCCCTTGTAGCATACCGGACGCGATCGACAGATGGCTAGAAAGAGAAATGTTTAGAAAAAACTATGGGAAGAAGGAAGGTTGGTGTTTAGAGATGGATCACTACGAAGCGTTAGGGTTTGCTCTGGCTTCGTTGTTTCCAGTTAATGCCCGCTGACATGCGCACATAACGAGTCCCGGAAATCATGTAGTATTTAATGTGCTTATCTTTTATTACCTTCCTATCAGTAGCACCATTTATGCCGGTATTACCTGGAGGCAAGCAATGTAGCTTACTGATAACCGTTTTAATAGAGATGTTGGAAACAAACATTTTCATTTCAAATCTGTATCATTGTCGTACATAATCGAAACTCGTGCAATCTTGGTCCGATTTTGAAATACAGTTCTTCATGTCGTTAAAAATAGCGATATACCGCAAGCTAAATTTCGGAACGAACAGCAATACAAATGTTTCAGTCACAATGAAAATGTCAGAGTAGGAACAGTTAAACTATTTCTTTAGAAAAAAAAAAAAGGGAAAACATTGTTTCGAAGCAAATGGAAGCTAACATGTGTTATTATTCCAAATAATACATATTACTAGGATTATTACACCTCATGCATTTAGGTACAAAGCTTTCTACTCTAATCTATCAAAAACACTCTCGTCAACAAAAGTTTCGCAGGAGTAGCTTTTTCAATTGTTTACTTTTATTATCCTGTAGAGAAGTATACATACTCGCGTGTTTCTTTCAAAGGGTGGCGTCAGAAAGGTTCGCCGCATCGCAACAGAATCTTTGCGGGTCGAGACATGTCTATGTGGATTTGTACATTCTGCTTGGCAACGTTAAACAGAAGATACCGTTAAGTCTGGCCTTGGCCATTTCTTCCCGATACTTGTTCACGGGCAACAGCCCCCTTTAAATGCTAGACGAAATGAATGTTTCGCTGCGGTTGGCCCTCTGTAGATATCGCCTTCCTGCAACTTTTCTTTCAAGGCGTCCTGTTTGCACGAAATAACCTCTTGCAGTACCAGCATCAAAGGCGTACCGTACCGCGACCAAATGTTCATCCATTCTACCAATTGACTGCTACTGCGGTTACGATAACTGCTGTCTGGACAACACAGACACCGTTATTACTATTGCCTTCCCACCCGACTGACCCGCAGGGCTCTTCCCTTTCTAGCAATATCTTTCAGATTCAATAAGGCCCGGTGTCTTCAACTCAGCTGGATTATTCATTGTGGGGAAATTACTTGAGGAGACAGCACACCTATCTACTGATCTAACTGGCTTCTACTCTTTTTAGCATACGTCCTTTACTTTTCGGGAAATCTGAATTCTTGAGGCGAACGAACGGGTTCTTGAAGCTGTTGCTTTTTTACTACCTTTTTACCTGTCCCCGGCCTTCGTATCAGCTTTATAGTCCAGGCTTGGCTTGTCCACGAATGCTGGTCAACACAGAGAGGAAAATAATTCTTCGTATGCAGCCTAATTTCATATAAACTGCCAATTTTTTCAAAGCGTCTAGACTTCGTGTTTTATAGGAGAACAATCTACAGGACGATCGAAGTAAAGTACATAGATAACAGTCCCTTCGCAGGCCATATGGACCAAGAAAGATGAGTAGACAGGTTGATGTAATAGTAGGAATAGCATGACGGAGGCCTACTGAAGATCAACTTATAAAGAACACGCTTGTCGAAAATCATAAACAAACTTTCTTATGTAAAATTTGTCTGTCGTCGTCTATGTACTTGTCGATGGTAGGAGATGTTGCTTGGCCCGTATCACTGCAAAATGAGCGCCCACTCAGTATACAGATAACTTTCATCTTCCCCTTTACGGCAAACTCCGAATATTAGGTAGTAGATGTGCTAGGCTCACAATGGAGTCCAGATTATACTCCATTTACCCTACCGTTAAATAAACCTAACATCCTTTTAACGATAAAGGGTTTCACGCCATTCATTTTATGGGTCGTTTGAAATGCGGCTCGTGAAGAAGAGAGTCACAGACGTTCTCATAAAAAATGACTAAGAATGTTAGGTTCATTCGAAGCACTGAAATATAATTATTTAATGGGCTATATTTAAATAAGGCCTTTAGAGTTATACTTTGAAGAATATTGTAATGAATGATATAATTAAAAACAAAATAGGCAGTGAACCTTATTTTAACGTTTTTGGTAGCTCGTAAATACTAATAGTGGCCTATCAGTCTCAAAATATTCCGCAAGAAATGCGGAATTTCCGCTTTTACTGATAATTATCCTAATTTTTAAACGTCGTTGTTAGATGGTAAAAGCTGTTAACTTTGGCGGCCGGTACTTTTGATCTTCCGGAACTTTGATACTTCAAAGTTTTTTCTTATACATACGACAACAAAAATCATACTTTCAAATGTGTGAGCAAGTGTAGGCAGCTTTTACGTAAGTGCGTGTCGAGAGCCATTCTGGAGTACCTTTGCAATGGTAACCAAAATAAGGCCTTTCAAAGAACACTTCTTAGAGCAATTTATATTATGACCAATGACGCTGTTGGAAAGCTACCTTGGAATCCTCTAAAAACTATCCCGGATGCTTTTTTCGTGTCACAAAAGTTCATTCTCCTTTTCGTGACATTCGCATTAGCTGACTGACTATTTATGTCGGCCTGCTATTACCGTTTTCTAAGCGTTCGCGCCCAGTATTTGGTATGAATGCTTGAAAATTATCGCATAGCTATTGGCCTTATCGCATAGATACGAGCACATTGAACTACTGCACCAGCGTGCAACGATACAGCTCAACCAGTGCATATTTCCGTCAACTTCGGTTTTCTATAATGAAACGTTCATCGCCACGAGTGTGACTGAGGTCAGCGCCTACATCAGAATTGTTTCTCTAATTGAGAGACACTGTTGCTTCAAGGTAATTAATAGCTCTATTGCTCATTCCTCTCGGGGACGTATTTGATTGCTCGTTGTTTTTGTCAACGAACTGTTTAGCCAGCCGTCAGGCCGTATACACACAAAGCTTGAACGCTATAATTCACTATGAACACTTTGATATAATGTGAAGGTAATAAACACTGAAGCCCATTTCTACGTCTTCGTTCTGTGAAATAACGTCAGCATTCATGACTAAGTTACTCCCCTGCTGAGCTTTGAACGATGTAGATGAAAAACAATTTAAAAGTCTGTTTGTATTCTCTTACCGATAGTGACAAAAACGTTTAACAGGGTTTTTACGTACGCGTAAAATCGTAGACTGGACTATTATTACGTTTAATTTTTATTTATTGTCCTGCTGCTGGTTTGAGGCAGGTAATGCAATTGACATTGCCGTACACGCCGACCGTCTCTGTGTTTCAAATAGTAGAACTAAATATATGTATACATATATATAGTACAAATCGCTGTTGACGATAACATAAAAATGACTCTTGTTCAGATTGTACAAGACAGCTGAAGTTACGGGAGGAATAACTTATTCAACAGCCATCCGCTACTATAGCAGTATTGCACAACAAGGTGGCGTGTTGACTGGGAGTAATAAGTTGAAAAAATTGTGCCGATATGCTCCAGTTACTGAACATCAGTGCGTCTATAATAATAATACGCTTCCCATACTGAGCTTCTGGTAACTCTACGAGAAACCCGTAAAAGCAAAATGTCGCCCATTCTACATACTGATTTATTGAGGAAGCCACACTTTTTGAGGAAGCAACGTGTCCGGTTCCATAGCCAGCTGCCCGTCACACTTCTATTCTTTACCACGATGTCAGTGACCAGCCGCGATTGATTCACTGGCTGCATATCGATGGCGTTCCTATTATCGTCGCTATTAGCAATGCCTTGTTGTTTCATACCGTTTTGTGCGATTCTCAATCTTGATCAACACTTGGTTCTCGTACTCGGACTGTTCGCGCGTGTTATTGCTTGTCACCCCACATGCGTCGACGCCTAACATACTGTTGTCACAGCAAATAGTGGCTATCAGAGCCTGTCATCGGTCGCATCCTTCAGCCGTCTACGTACGGGCGTACGCTGGGCGTACAACTAGCGGCCTCTACACCGAAGCTTGACGAGCTTCAACGAATTGTGTTTGTATCCTATACTGGACAATATCGCCACCACGGTCGTCTACCTCACTCGCGTTACCGAACGGCTGACTACTGAATGCTGCTACGGGGCCACCGAATGGTCTAATCGACCCGATCGATAGATGTGGCGTGACCTTTACGCCAGCTGTTGGCTTTATCAGATCGATCAGCTACTGCCATTACGACCGGTACTGGCATCGTAGCCAATGACATCAGGTCCAGCTACAGTGCGCCGGTCTTAGCTTATAGTGGTGCGCCGCACTACCTCAGCTTCGATAGGGGAAAAGGAAAAAGACAACTCACTGCGATTAACGACTGCGCTCTGCTGTCAGCGTTGGAGCCAGCAAAAAGCCTCTATAAGCAGAATCAATGAGCACCCATCGTGCATCAAGGGTGGATTATGCTAATTTGCCACGTACATCCATGTACTTATAGGTTTACTCGATAGTACCGTCGTATACCTTTCTCATAATGGTGACCCTAAGGATTCAGTCGTTCGACGTACGCGTTGTGCTACCACGATACCTAATGGCCCTGTTATCATAAAGACTTACAGACAGGAGATGGGTATTATCATTACTCTGGCTGCCGCTGTGACGCCTCTATCATACCCTTAGCAGTGTCACAGTTGGTTAAGCGCATCATCATCCGAAGCACGCGTTCTGCTGGCTTCACTGCCTTTAGGCGCGCGATGAGGGTAATGCACAATCTCAGCGAGTTTTTCAAATGGAGACGGACTCCATCGTAGCTGTCCCACTGCAGCCACTGCCTCTACTCACAGCTTGTCACCGCGAAGCGGAACCAGAAGGCAGGGCAAACCGTTATAACCAGCATGCGGTACCGTATACAGCTTTCATGCTAGCAGTGTCAGCTCAGCACTCTACGGACTTAACTGATCATGGAATGCGGCCGGCATCTGCTCAGGGACCGCCATATTGATAGAGAGACAAACAGATAGATCATACGAGATCGTCATTAGGATGATGAGCTATTGTGAGTAGTCGGCTTTCGATCCTTTTACTGGTCTACTGCTGACACTCAATCCCTGATTTCTAATCCCTTACAGCCCTCTTCAATTCCGTTTGATTGATTCTATATATCGGTGAGCTATACCTTCGCCAAAGCACAGTCTTAGATATTCGATGGGTAAACGAACGTCTAACAGTAAACAACGTACTGATTGAGCCCTCTACAGGCCTATCTCTATTTATACGTGTACTGCTAGATTATCTTCCTCAAAAAGTGCTAAACTCAAAAGAGACTGTCATTATGTGAGAATATCTCGTAAATATAGACGAGTAATACAGACAAACTAACGGATCGACAATACAGGGGTCTTGAATTGAGGAAACGGTGTCAGTATAAAGGGCCCAATCTCTGCCATAATTGGAGCTTATCAGATCTCACGTAATGCATGTCGCGATAAGCAAAAACACACTTCAATTTCTTCTTTAAGTTCAATCATAGCCAAAATAAAGGAAACGTTGTTTACTGCTCACTGCATTCGAGTAAAATTAGCAGCCAACCGCAATAAACATTTGAAAGTAGCGAACCAGCCAATTCTGGTCGGCCGGACTTCTTTCTGACGAAAAACAATAATCAGGGGATCCAGAAGGCCAGTCTCCTCTATTAGTTTAAAGAGGAGGCACACGAGTCGCATCTATATTTCACTTACTCAAGTGCAATTCGCCATCGGTTGAAATCGTTGCTGTGCCAAAGCCGCCAAAGGAGTCTTCCTGCTGAAGCCCTCCATCTGCGGACATCCTCTACTCCGATCCAATCACTCCCCATCCACCCTCCGACCGCCCTCTCGATTGTACGGCTTTACTTCGTAATGTCATCGTCGACGTGATTGTCGTCGTTTTCCGACCAGCAAGTGGCCTAAATCTGCTTTCCGTTGAGGGCGGGCGGGTTCCGGCGATGGCAGCAGCAACCGTCGATAGCCGCTTCAAGGGCTCGTTGCAGGGGCGGCGGTCTGTCGGTTGTGACTCGATCGTTGGGGGGGAGGGAGGCGGTGCTCGGGTTAACTTCGCAAGCCGACGGTTGTTCTCTCTCGCTTCGCCTCCCACAAATCCAGTCGTTGCTCGCTAGTTCACTAACTCTGACAAACAATGGTCGGCCCGAGCAGGTTATTCGGCAACCGCCACCATTTAATCACCAGTCGGCGACTAAGCGCCGCGAGGAGTGACGAAGAAATAGTAGACAGGCCGGGAGACACAGTGTGCCAGGTCCCCTCTGTCTTCGTTCATCATCTGGTTCTATCTGGTTGATGTCTTTATTCACTCGAATCCGATGTGTCCGTCTCCTGCGGCGACATGGCCCACGACTTGGCCAGTCATTCTTGACTGGCCAAGCGTGAGTCGGCTGCTGTCCACCAACGCAAATCCAATTGCGATTCTCAGAAGCAGAGTCCCGAATAGGAAGTTCACCTAGCAGTAGGAACAACATCGGCATCGGTATGCTCAATGGCAGCACTGTCACCACCACCAAAGACCGTATATATACACACATACTAGGCCAGGAGTTGCGTCGATACTCCCTGCAATGCCTCCGATTCTATTACAGCAGTTTGCATTTCACACTTCTTTTTTGGACTTAAGAACTAATCCCTTACAAGACGCAACGACATTCGCCGAACGAATGAAAAAGTCCATCCGATAGGTTCCGATTTTTAATTCCTCTTTCAACAGAATCGGTTTTAGTAAAGAAAATCATTGACAACCGGGAAATCTCTGCTGTTATGGACTTGACTCAGCACCTAAAAGCGGATCGATGAAGCTGCAGAAGTCATGGCAGGCGGGCGTCTAGAAATAGAACCCGTTAGTATAGTATGACGAGAGCGACGTAAGGTACGATCTAGGCGAGATAATTACTCCAACAATTAGCAATCAGGGTTACTCGCTATTACCAAATAGGTACTCTATATAAGAGTATAATAAACGAAAAATACAACTACATGCAATATCCGTCAAGTACAGTATATACATACCTAT